AAAAAAGAATGTTCAAGTAACAAGGGTGACTGTTATAATGAGGTGCTAAAAAGTAAGCTAGGCTATATTTAATAACAGGAATTAAAATACCCATTTTGCAGATGAAGGTACAGAGATGCAGGAAATAGTAAAAGCAAACAGCAAGTAACAAAGCCTGAATCTGATAACAAAGCCCCAAATGTTCTCCACCCACATCACACCATTAACTCCAGGTAGTTAGTGCAAGGAAACAGGCATCCTCCATTTCTCTGGGGCACTGTGGGAGTCTGTCCTGCCTAGGCTGTTTTCCTGAAGGTAATCGTAAATGAGAGGTGGAGCTGGCTGCAAAGTTCTATCCTTGAGCAATGAAGCAATCTGTTCTAGAAGAGGAAATGGTACAATAACTACGTGTTCAAATAGAAGGCCTGTTCTGGAAAACAAAGCAATTAAGAACACAGGATTCACTCCACAAATATTTACTGAGTACCTACTATCTACCAGGCATAGTTCTAGGAGGTGGGTAGAGGGAACGCTTAGTTAAACTAAGTTCCTACATCATATTGGGTACAATGTCGTGAACAACACTTTCCATAACCACCCGTAATATTAGACAGTAGTTCTCTTGGCTGACCATCACGCCCAATGAGACTGATGATAGATAGATAGATAGATAGATAGATAGATAACTTCAAAGAAACAAAAAACCATGAAGCCAGATCCGGCAGAGATTCTGATTTAGGGAGGTCTGAAATAAGGTTGAGGGATCTGTATTTTTTTTTGAAGTTCCACCAGGGTTTCTGAAGCACAGTTAAGAGAGAAGCAGGATGCAATAGTACATAATCTATCTCCATCTTTTTAATGTATTTATTTTTCCAGATTAACCTAAGTTATTTGCTTCTTTATATGTACTTAGTTTTATCACAGGACCAATAACAAATTTAAAGTTTGTCCCCTTTCTGTTAACGTTTGTCTTTTATAAGTGGTAAAAAGGTAATCAACTCAATTAGATTCCCTCAAAAACTGGGGAACTCTGCAGTAAAAAGGTTGGCCTCTGGAAATGTGGGCTTCTTAACCTAAGTAGAATGTAGAAAAGACCATAAGCCACATGTCATGGTTAAGTATATATCTTATTCTTGTGAAAACCACATATGAATGGAAACAGATCAATCATACTAGTATTAACTACAGTTTAATATTAATCATATGGTGCCATACACTTTAGAATTATGAGTTTTCTGGGTACAGAAGTCAGCTGCAATAAATTCAAGTACAAGATACTCTGGGAGAATGTTCCCATTTACAAGAAGTCATGGAAAAAAGCCTTCCGGGACCTTTACAGCCAGCAACTACACTCTAAGGCAGACAAGACTGAAACATGGTCCTGACTGGTGGAACTCAGGTGGTTGGGCACAGTCCCGCAAAGCACAAGGTTGCTGGTCCGATCCCCTGTCAAAGCACATGCCTGGGTTGCAGGTTCGGTCCCCTGACCAAGCATGTATGAGAGGCAACCGACCAATGTTTCTCTCCCTCTCTTTCTGTCTGCCTTCCCTTCTCTCTAAAAATAAATTTAGAAAGTTGTTTTCTTTTTTAAAAAGACTAATATGTGAACAATATAATGGACTACGTGAATAAGAGGTGCCTTTGTTCACCTACTCCACCTGATTCACATTTCCCTCTTTGTTTTGACAACCAGAAGGCTCAAAGCCTCCTACACGGCCTACATAAGCAATGCTGCAGGATTCTTTCATGGACAAACCTACTAATGTCTTCATCTGATCTGTGCTCAGTTTCCTCACATATTTATTTATTAGACTATTTTTTGGGGGGAGCTTTAGGTTCACAGCAAAATTGGGCAGCAGGTACAGAGCATGCTCTTACATGCCCTGTCCCCAAATATACACTGCCTGTCCCACCCACCAAAATCCCACACCAGAGTGGCACATTTGTTACAACCAATGAACCTACACTGACACGTCACCATCACCCAAAGCCCATAATTTACATCAGGGTGTATGTAGCTCTTGGTGGTGTACATTCTATGGGTTTTCACAAATGTCTAATGACAGGCGTCCAGCATTACAGTCTCATACAGGGTAGTTTTACAGACCTAAAACTCATCAGTGCTCTGTCTTGTCATTCCTGCTTCCTAACCCCTAGCAACTATGAATCTATTTACTGTCCCTACAGGCTTTTTAAAAATAATTACTTTTTCATTTATAGCTGACATACAATATTATATTTGTTTCAGGTATATAACAGACATTTATGTAACTCATGAAGTGATCACCCCAGTATGTCTAGCAGCCACCTGACACCATACATGGTCATTACACTATTATTGACTATATTCCCTATGCTGTACTTTATATCCCTGTGAATGTTTTTATCAACATGGAAGCAACCAAAGTGTCCCATCGATAGATGAATGGATAAAGAAAAGGTGGTATAATATAGAATAGAACATTACTTGGTTATAAGAAAGAATGAAATCTTGCCATTTGAATGGACCTAGAGGGTATTATACTAAGTGAAATCAGTCAGGCAGAGTAAGACAAGTATCATATGATTTCACTCACATGTAGAATCTAAAAAACAGCCTCCACAGTTTTGCCTTTTCCTATCATATAGCTGCAATCATACAGTATGTAGACTTTTGAGTTTGGCTTATTTCAGTTAGTAACATGCATTTAAGGTGCCTGCATGTCTTTTCATGACTTGATAGCCACCCCCCCCCTTTTTTAGCACTCCATTGTCTGGATATGTCACAGCTTATCTGTCAATTCACTTACTGAAGGCCATCTTGGTTGCTTCCAAGTTTGGTCAATTATGGATAAAGCTGCTATAAACATTAATGTGTGCAGATTTCTGTCAGGACATAAGTTTTCAATGCATTTGGGTAAATGGATACTTATTTTTGTATCTAACATATAAACCCCTCAGATTCCTATTGAAATGAGTTAGCACACACAAAACAATGCTCCATCTGACTCTTTATCTCATGGCTAAGCCACATGGAGAACAGCACTTTGAATGAATTTTAGGAGGCAAATAATGTGATAAGCATAGGAGCAATAGACCAAGTTCAAACTAAAGATGAAATAAAAATATTTTCCAGCTCTTTCCATTGTGAAACACACACTCCCAGAAGCCCACAGCACAAGTGATGTCACTATCACCAACACAATAACATGTTTTCCACACAACAGTGAGGAGCTTAAGGTACCCAAAATGATTACTCTCTGTCATAACACAGAATGCCAAACTGCCTGTAAACATATAAATGTTAGCAAACATTTTAGCGCAGATTTCAGAGCAAATCTATTTCCTCTCTTACAACTCTAAGAATATTAAAATATAGAGCAGCTTACACAGTTAGGCATATGTGTTACAAAATAACTACATGTACAAGGAAGGTATTTACTTTTGCCACAGTTAATCCTTAACTACAATAATTTTATATGCTAACGTCATTCCCACTTGATTTTATTTTCTCTTCTTTGTTATCTCTTTGCCACTCAAAGTTTATTTTATCTGCCTCTATGTGAATCTACGTTATCTTCTTTAAATCTCTCTTTGTGCCAGGAAGGACAAAAACTGTTAAAGAATATATCAAGTAATCAAGGTAGTTCAAACTCATAAGGTCTCTGAAGATAGCTTATACATTCTTTTTTTCTTTTCTATGGACTAGAATTCTCCTTAGGAAAACTTCTGATTTTTTGTGTGATTTTTATTATATGTCCAAGGTTAAAAATTATAACACCATTAGTAATATAATTTCAAACTTACTAACAGTAAGTTTGACATGACAGCAAGTTTGAAATGACAGTACCATTTGATTAAAATTATTCTTTATGGCCAACATAGCACTTTGCCTTAAGAGCTGTTTAAAACCCTCTTGAACCTTGGGTCTCTTTTATACACTTGTTTATGTTTTATTTAATAAGAATAGTGCTTGATAATAGTTATAAGAATGATTCATAAAACTTTGAAATTAAGAAAAGAATAAAGAGCAAAATTAAAAGAACATATCATACAATTCATTCAAAGAAATTACTGTTCACTTTTCACTGTTATCTTACTATTCCTGCTTTTTATGCTACAATCATTTTTACAAACAATATGGGGTCCGATGCTTGATGCTGTCTGGTTTTACCTCGTTTTCCTCTGCCCTGAGAGAGGCCCGTCTTCCCCACACAATCCTACACGAACCCTGTCTTTTTCATTCACACACAGATTCCACCTAGCTATGGTCCAATAACTTTGCTTCACTTAAGTCAGTCCACTATTTGTGCCTACACAAAAACCCTGTTTGTAAATCCTGTGGCATCAAAATAGGTTTTCTCTAAATCTGACCTAAAAACTTAATTTTAAAACACATATATCTTCTTTCACAAATTAACTGATCTACAGCCACAAGATAAATCTGCAATAACACACATGCCCTTTTCGCTGGATGTCTCTCTCTAATATGTGGTGACCCTACGTCTTCCATCTCATTCTTGGCCTGTGAACAGTTCATGCAGGTGCCAAAGGCGGCATTAATAACTGATGTCTGAAACCGAAGAGAAATAATATGCCTGTTACACAATGATAAATTTCAGTACAGCAGGAAATTACATCTTGTTTTATGATGTATAATTATTTTGAGATTTGAACTAGCCCTATATGTCTCAGAAAGGTTGTTTTACTTTGGATCTGGTCCACATCTGTCTACTTAGAGTGAAACAACGGAAATAACTGATAACTTTGTAAAAACACTTTCAGATACCTGTTACTGAAATTAAGGAAAATGTTACCTGCCACATGTAATCAGAAAATAATATTTCTGCCATCAACTGTTAATAAAAAAAAAAGATGATGCTACACTCTGTCCCTACTAAGAAAAAGATCAGAGGTCTACCACGTCATTCCTAGTGGAAAGACCAGCCATGGGAAGTAACTTTCTCATGTAAAAGGTGTTTCTTTCCGGATGACCCTGTCCTGTCAATTCACTGCTCAGGGCACACGTCTCTGCACGTTACCTTGCAAGTCTGAATCATTTGCCTTTGGACTGCTTCTTGCTCGACGCTCAGTTTTCTTAATCCCCGGCCCGCCGCCAGTGCTGCCTCCTCCACTCCCACCGCCTCCACCACTGTGGCCTTTCCCGTAGCCGTTGTACACGGTCGTGCAGTTGCTTTTGTAGATAGACGAGGGTGGGCTGTTGAGGCGATTCTGGCGGTCAATCTGGCGGTCTTTCAGTTTTTTGTGTGGAGGCTTGCTGTACTGGTCTTCCCGGGTAATGTAGCTTGACATTCCGTAGAGTGGTATAATTTCTAAAATGGACGATTATGACAAATGCAAGCTCAGTCTACATTTCCAATAATAAATTATTCAATGGTTAAATGATCTATTAATGAAAAATTTTAAAAATGTTACACAATACAGTGATATACATGTTACACATGCTTAAAATATTTTCATTTGTTTCTAATCAATCAAGGAATAAATAATCATTAAAAACCATTCTGTGTGTTCAGGAGGGTTCCAGAAATTATTATACTGAAGGAAAAATTTCATATTCTGATCAAATTAACATTTGATTTTTGCCTGTTAAAATGTATTTTCAGTTATTGCAATATACAAAGTTAGAACAAATAAAATGTCCCTAATGCATACTTAGAATCAAGATATTTAAAAGTATAGTTATTCTTGTAGACTGAACAGCATTTCTATTGGAAAGTATATAATAGCAACCAGAATATAAAGAGTTATTTGTGACAACTTAAAATATCCAACATTTGAACAAATTTTACTAAAATGATAAGAGGGGAAATTTCCATGAAAAAGAATCAAAGCTCACAGAATCAGGGGAGATAATCAAGAAGAAATTGTAGGGGTAAACATAAGCCATCTCTTCAACCTGGCACCAAACATAATGCAGGGGTCTCAAACTCCTGTGCTAGAGAAATCAGGAGGCAAGACAAACTGACTAGCAGAATGTCACCTGGCTTCACTATGCATATTTTTAAGTGGCTCAGAAGAAAATGGGGGCCTGCAAATAATCTCATGATTTGGGGGAAGGCAGGGAGAGATTATTTTAAATTTAAATCAATTAAAAATATATTCAGACATTATTAAAAATGCAATTCAGAATACAGATTGGGTTCTTACATGTTTCTAAGGACAAAGGGCTCCACATGCATAGGGTGACCATATAAATTACCAGCCTAACCCGAATACTTCTGAGGAGGAAAAAAGGACACTCCTAATCATTTCTCTAAATAAGCGACCTAAACTAGTACTGTCCTAGCCATACCAGCACTGTATGGTCAGCCCAGGCAAGGTAACAACTGATGTTTCAACTGTTCAATGGTAAAGCTCCACTTTTCATTTTCTTCCTGTTCACAAGGCTTAAAAGAAAGATTTTTAAAAAGAAAATCTTCACAGGATAAGCAATTTGTACCAGAGAAAAGGCATATGACAAAATAATTATGTTCAAATATACAAAAAGGATAACAAATATTTTAAATATCACAATGCATTACACTTGAGATTTAAAATATATAAATAAATATTCACAATGGGCACTAATATAATATTTTAAATCATAATGAGAAATTTTTAAGATCTTGTAGTTTGGGAAATTATACATTTAAATTACTTTTAGGTATGCACAATGAGAACTAAGGTAAGAATATATATATTTTATATATTATGTATGGCTTTTATGTATATAAAAAATATATAGCCCTGGCTGGTGATATTCAGTGGATTGAGTGCAGGTCTACAAAGTAATGAGTTGTGGGTTTGATTCCCAGTCAGGGCACATGCCTAGATTGCAGGCCAGCTCCCCAGTAGGGGGAGTGCAAGAGGCAACCACACATTGATGTTTCTCTCCCTCTTTCTTCTTCTCTTCCCCTTTCTCTAAAAATAAACAAAATCTTGAAATATATATATAAATATATATGGCTTTTTAAAATAAATTCAAAGGAATTCTTTTCACTGCTTTAATTTGCAATCAATGAAGGCACTGTTATTTTTATATTATTGATCTGTGCTATTTAATGAAATTATGCCAAAATACTATATGAAATGAGCACAAAATATTTATTTTGCTTAATTCTAATGAGGATTTGAATCATACTGTGGTCTAAATTGCTAAGTGCTTCATTTACAAAATAATAACTACCTGGTACCCTACCAAGGGCTGCTAAAAAGAGCCAGGCTGCTCTTCAGCAAGCAGTGAGTCAGCAGGCCAGGCTTTCACCACGTCATTCAGCTCAGACCTCACCAGAAAACTGACAAATGCTCAGTAATGCACCTTGTGTCAAAGCCCTGGATACTTTTTTAAAATTACAGTTAATTAACTGGATCCTTTCCAGTTTTCTTCCAAATGTTGTGATGGAATATACTCACTCCTCAGATATTTTGGGTATTCTGTCACTAACGATAGGAAGCTACTGACACCTCTATGAAATCAAAATATTAATTTCATCTTTTGCTATTATCTCTTCACATTCCATCATGATAGCACCTGATTCTTCAAATTATACTAAATTTCTTTGTAACTACTAAAAAAATAATAACCAATCAAATTCTACCCATAAGTTACAACAGAAAATTTCATTTAAAATACTCATATCAAATTTTTCTTTTGTTAATAAGAAAAATTACAATGTGAGATGAACATACAGAAAAAAATGTATATGTATAATTGATAAGAGTAAGTGAGGTGCTGATTTGCTCCAAAACTCTACACTATAACAGGTATTTCTCATACGATTTATCTGAACCAACATAAATATTTGAAGTAATACAGTGTTTCATATTCTAACGCAAGAAAATCACTTTGCAAAGTCCCAAAGATTAAAGACTAATTTTTACCCTCATCTATCTGGTCTCTTAGTTTCATTTTGATAGAAAAGGGCTTCAGCCTCTACCAACACCAAAGCCAAAACTAAAAAGCCATAATGCTGGTATCTCTAGACTCTTTCTCATTTCAAGGTGAGTATCTGCCTAACAAACAGTGAACTTTTGGCTGCACTAATGGCTAAATGACTATTGAACTAAAAGCGGTCCAGGAGGACCACATCAACAGCGAGGGGACTCTGGGTTCTGCCAACACTGCAGCACAGAGCATCTGGGAGACTCAGAGGTTACTGAGACCTCACAGTCTTCTAGCATTCGAAAGGGGGCCCAAAACCCACTGTAATTTCCCTTTTAACTGCTAGACTACACGGATGTCAAAGAAATGATGTGCTGCAATGGCCTCAGGCCACTGTCACAAAAATATGTTAATAGGACATGGGAACATAAAATAGATCACTGCCTCTTTTCTAAAATAGCTGGTGTCCAGTTGCTCTGTGGGGTGGGATAGGGAAGCAGAATTTGGAAATTATAAACAAAGAAAGAGCTACAACCCATGAAGTAATTTTTACAAGACACAAGTTAGGACAAAGGAAGCTAGGCATTCCCCATGAGCTTTATACATCAGATAGACTGTCTCCTACCATGCTTATTACAGAAGAAACAAAGGCCACTCTGGTGCTCTTATGCTACATAAGTGTCGTAATCAGTTTCAACAGCTGTCAGTGCCAGCTATAACCTACTCACCTTGCTCACTGTATAATGTAGGGGGAAGATGATGCTGAGGAAAAAACTGAGGCGGCATATCTCCAGGTCCGGAAACAGGTGGGTAATAAGCCGTGTGTGAGTTATGAATAAAATGTGGGTGCAAGTAGTGGGGTAGGTGATGGGTTGGAGACATGGCTGAAGGGTAACTTGGGGGGTAACACTCAGGAGACTGGGGTGTGACCACCACCCGGCGGACCCCAGTATTGTCTTCAATCACCTAAAGAAAATAGCAAAAAGAAAGAGTGTAGTATGTATTATTAGCCAATACCTTTTGAATACAGTAATTAATTACTTCCCCCTTCATTTTAATTTTCTGTCCTTCATAGGAGAAAAAATTAGTACATGTTAAATTCTGGTTCTATAATTCAATCAGTTAAATGAGTTTTAAAAGTAATAACATTTAAGCATTATAAGTTATGAAATTTTCATCGACCACCTAATTCTGATTATACAAAACTTCTGCAATGATGAAGAGCTTGATAATCAATCTTCTTTTTTGCATAAAAGTTTCACAGATGACGTCTTCCAAGATTTCAAAAAGACTTGGAAGAAGACTCCTGAAGACTTCATCTAAGACAAGTGAATTGAATGTGTACTTAAGTTGATTTTAGGAATGGCTTATAATATAACTAACAGTGGTTTTTCCAGAAAGAAGAGACTTTCCGGTCACATAAGTGTGCTGTGCAGGGCTGAGCTTCCTGATGACACTGGGCCCCCCTCCTATGTTAGCATGCACAGCTCCATCATCATAGAGGTTCCAGTGGGGAGATGGGCAAACTGACTTCCAGAAGCCATAAGAGCACCACAAGGTCATTTAATCTGGGACCAAGGATGGAAATGAAACAAGGGGATTCTGACCAATGAAAACCTTGAGCAATCCCAAATCAAGCTGCACACCTGTGCTCACATCCTGGTGATGTAAATGAGTGTTGTGAAGGGAGACACAATGAGGCAGGACCTGCTAGAGCAGTGAACACCAATCAACATTAGATCTGTCCTGTCTTCAAATGTTTTTCAATTTACCCAGGAAGATAATTAACTAAGGCAGTACAATACCAACATTATTGCCTCTGTGGCCAACTTCATGCTACTGGATCTAAGAGCAAACAATCTTTTTAAGACACAAGATAAGAAATAACTACTATTACAGATACCATAATCAAAAGGGAAAGCTGTACAACACAGAGATGAAGAGCCCTGCATGACAGAACTGGGAGGGCTTCAGGAACCTCAGAGATTTAGGAGGGCTGGGACAGCTGAGACAGGACCCTGAGGCAGGGCCCTTGCAAGGAAGGGGACAAGAAAGGCATAAGAGTAAACTTGGAAGCCAGGATGAGGCTGCCAGAGAGACCAGTTGGTTTAACCAAGTATTTAAGAAAATCAGGCACACATAAGGTAGGAAGTTTTGTTTTTAAAAACAAACCCAACACTGAAAATTAAACTTGTAATTGAAATGCATATCTTATTATACCCTGTAAGTTGATTATAGGCCAGAATAAAATGACTTAATGGTATCTAGAACATTCTAATAAAATTTATACTGAACTTTGTTTTTTAAAATATTGCCTGATACAAAATGGCAAATTTACCAATGTTATCCTATACTTTAGTGTACAACATAGGTTTGGTTTGAATTACCATTCATCTTCATATTAAGAAAATCTTTATGTATATTAATGAACCAATTAACAAGAAAGTATCAGAATTAACTATTATGTTAATAGTTCATTAATAAAGTAAGATTAACTCCTTAAAATTAAGATTCTGAGTCATACTCTGTACTAAAGCTCAAAACATATCTTTTTATGCATTCATTAATAATGTAACTTCTTCAGAACCTTGGCAAGCTAATCACAGTAACCTAATTTATGAATACATAACTGCTAATTTACAGGTGTATGTGAAATGGTGCTTAAACCATAATACCGACAATTCTAATGCATGTGCTAATACTTAACATCAAAGCACACCTTCTACGAATATATTTTGTAGCACACTTTGTACAAATATGGATTTTTCTTACCATCTAATATAAACATGCATCATTCTATAGTGTCTTCTCTTTCCCTACTCTGCCACTAGCTATTGCAAAAAAAGTAAGGCATATTCCAGATACTCCTCTTTCATGAAACATTAATTCAATCCTGTGCTAGACACTGGAAGGTCCACAGAAGCAAAGTATTTGTTTTCTAGACACAAACTTCATTATTCAGTCACTGTAACACTTCCCAAGGTTAAAACCAGCCACACAAACTTGACCTATACAGTAAACCAAGAGCAGGGCTCTCACTAAATACAAAGAACAACTCTTTGGGTTTGTAAATGAGGGTAATTATAATGAAATGAAATTATTTTAATCACTTTCTCATATAATTTCTGACATTAAAACAAAGTATTTTTTAAAAGTGTGAGCAAAAAGCGCTAACAAATAAAAAATGTTAATGAAGGGAAAGGAAGAAAAATAAAAGCGCCAGCCTGCAAACCAAAGGGTTGCTGGTTTGATTCTCAGTTAGGGCCCATGCCTGGGTTATAGGCCAGACCCCCAGTAGGAGGCATGCAAGAAGCAACCACGCATTGATGTTTCCTTCCCTCTCTTTGTTCCTCCCTTCCCCTCTCTAAAAATAAATAAATCTTAAAAAAAATTTTAAAGTATAAATTACCCTTCACCCTCCGCAAAAAAAAGGTTTCCAGTTAGAAAATTAAGTAGCTTTCTGAAACCACAAATTGCCTACATATATGAAAATTGTTGGAAGCACCATTTTAATTATCTTAAATTATTCTGTGGTATTTGTGAAAGACATCTATTTACATATGCAAAAACCAAAAATATGTGCTAAGTATTTTGTTCATTGTTCTTCTATAACACAAATAAAAATAAGTATTTTGTTTATTGTTATTCCATAACACAAATTACAATATATTTAATTACCAAATTTTTAATCTATGTCTAAAGAAATTATGCCCATGTTCCCAAAAGAACAAGTAAGTCTGAGGAGCAATAATGATGAACAAAATAATATGCAATTCAGGAAATGGGAGCAACAACATTCTTTGTTTTTAAAAAAGTATGGTTCATAAAGAAATATGACTATTGCAGAATAATTTAGAAATTAGAAAGAGTTCAGTCCAAACTCCTCAGACAATAAAATGTGCCTGCAGTGTTCACAAATAACGATGGAAAGGACAGATTCATTTCCTTTTGGGATGAATGAAATTGTGACAATATCCAGAGACAGACAAATCACCTGCATTCAATTCGACAATCATTTCCTGACACATGCTATGAAGTAAGCACTGGATATTCAATGGTGAAGAAAAAAATAGGTGCTAAACAGTAAGATTTATCTACATAGCCTAAGAATAATTTAAAGTGAAAAATTAGACTAAGTCTTAGTAAGTGCTATTCAGAAATCAGAACAAAGCACTGTTTTTTCAAGAATTAAAACAAAGTGTTCAGCATCAAGACTTTTTTTCCTAGCTCTGTGAATCAACAGAATGGTACTCACATATTTCTCCAGAGCACAGACCCTTGGAAAAGATCATTGTGTCCTAGGTTCTCAGGCTGCCACCTGTTACGGGCTGAATTATGTCCTCCCTTCCCCCAACCAATTTATATATTGAAATCCTAACCCCCAGTACCTCAGCAGGTGACTGATTTTAAAGGTATGTAATTACAGTAAAATGTGCTCATACGGGTGGGTCCTGTTCTCATAGGACTGATGTCCTTATAAGATGTGAAAACTAGGATACAGACATGCAGAAAGAAGACCATGTGAAGATGCCAAAGGGAGATGGCCACTTACAAGCCAAGGAGAGGGGTCTTAGAATAAACCAAACGTGGAGCTTCCAGAGTTATGAGAAATTAATTCTGTTGTTTAAGCCACCCAGGTTGGAGGCTTAACTTTGTTACAGTAGCCCTACAAATACACCACCTAGCAGAGCCTCCAGAGCTTCCTCTAAGTTCTACTAGCAGCCTTGTCTGCTTGAAAAGAAACCCTCTGTAAAAAGCAGTGCATTTATCCTCATGGAGGATAAAAAGTCCTTCCTTAGGCTTCCATCCTCAGCCTAAGGAAGAATGTGAGCCTGATGGAAGCTAGTTTGATCCTTTATCATGTCTTTTATTCTGTTCCACAAGTATTTACTGGGAAACTTCTATGTGCCTAGTATTCTTGCTATCCTGTGGCCTAGACACAGGATGAGAGGCTAGAGAATAGGGCACAGAAACACCCATGCAAATAAGAGAAACATTCTCCATGACAAACAGGGAGAGTGTTTCTCTCATTTGCATAAGTGATTTTAGAAGTAACTAAGAGAACCCTTAAAGCAACCCCCCCCCCAAAAAAACAACAAAAAAACCCACCAACAACTTGGAAGCAACAACAAGAGGGAGCAGCATGGGGAGACAGATGAGAAAACACAGTCAGTGCCAGCTGCTGGACATGGGTTATGTCATTTATCTACTGGAATTAGATATTACTGTCCCTGCTGGACATGAGGGAAACCAAGGCCCAGCACTGTTAAAATGCACTAGTGCAGTTGCACAACCAGATTTTCATTCTGGTCTATATACCAAAGTTTCCATTATGTGGAGAATTATACACAAGTTAGGTATGCTAAGAAAGAAATATATTAACAAGGAATTGTGAGAAACAGGATGGATGGTTTATTAAGAGATGTGAAAGGATTCAAAAGACCACCAGTAATTACTGAACACCTGCTGTTTTGCTTTAATACCCTTTCCTGAAATAAGGCAACACACTAACATGTGTTAAGGCCCTGGAAGAGTAACTGACACATAACAGAAAAATCTTACCTAGCAATTACTACCATTAACATTAGCCCCTCTCTAAACACTCCCGACAGCCCAGCAATCCTGTGAGGCATACACAGCTCTCTCCACTTTGGAGATAACAGGAATGCAGCTCAGGGATGTTCAGCTAACTCACCTGAAGTCAGAGAGCTATCAGGGGCTTAAGGGGACAATTTTGAGTTCAAGAATTAAAATGTATCTCTTATAAACACTTACAGTTTGAGTGTCTTCGCTCATAGCTGAGAGAGAGAAGGAAGCTAGCTTACTGAACTGAAATGTTCCACAGGAATTTTAATAAACTCCTCAGTTCCTAACAATCTGTTCTTCCACTTCCGGGCAGTAAGTGACAAGAATCAAAAGAAGAGCTTAAAAGGCAGGAGGCAACAGAAACAGTTTTAAAGGCTGCC